TCCCCTAACGCGACCCTAGTAGTAAGAAACCCCCAATTTCTTTCCCCATTCCAGGTGATTCCTCAATTAAAACGTCTTGCCCCTTTTATCGCGAATTTTTGAGCCTCTCACGCGAACCCTAATTAATAAAAAACCCTCACTTTCTTGCCCCAATTCTCAAGTTGATTCCTCAATTAAAACGTCTTGCCCTTTAATTTTTCAAATTTCCTTGTTTGCCCTCCCAAAACTTAATATACATCTATGCATACCCAATTATTATACAAAAATCGTTTTAAAATGCCACGTCTGATTAGTAATGCACTGAACCATTGCCACGTAACCAATACTGTACGGCCGTTTGTCACATTTTAACGGCAGAACCTGTTAATTGATTCATTTTACAAAAAAACAAGGACTCAATTGAGACACCGAAAGAAAGCGGACCACCTATTTGAAATTCATGACCAAAATAGGGACCTACGGAGACATTAAACCAAAAATCTATTACTCAAACGAAGAAACCAATTAATTGGAAATTTGTCGCAAGAATCACTATTACAACCTCATATACTAAAGCGTTTTAACAACAAATAAATAGAGAGTAAAAATACATAAAACTCTAAAAAAACATTTCTACGTATAATAATTTTAAAATATATTTATCAGACTTTTTATTTATACTAAAATTTTTTAATATTAAATAATGAAGTCTTATAAACAATGTCAAATCTTAAAATATAAATTATGATATTAAATATTAGAATGAGATTAATTCATTCAAAATTATAGTGAGTATTCTTAGGTTTAAATAAGGTACATATTTTAAATTATATTTCATATTTAATAATTTTTTATTGAGCCTTCACATTTGTTTTACAAAAAATATTTAAGCTTATTAAATATATTTATACATAATTATAATTATTTAATACAAATGAAAATAGAAATAACCATGACCCAAATGAAGTTAAGGACACGGTCCGTTAATTTCATGGACTTTTATAGTCGGTGTTAGTTAACATATATGTATGTTTCTGCAGCCGTAGTTCTTTATTTGTTTCATGTTCTACTTGAACGATAGTTACGAATTTCTCCTTGAGCTACACCATAGCCATAACCATGGTGTTTATCGCATCACCCAACCAGAAAACCCTAGCCATAGACGTAAACCCTAACACCACCACTCTCCATCACCTCAAACTTGCGATCCAACAAACCCTAACCCTCCCAATTTCTCAACAGCGCCTCTTCCTCTCTCAGAGTCACCGATTATCAGCCGCTAATGACGGCGATGATTCGGTTCTCATCTCCGATCTCGGCGTCGGGCCGTACTCGACCCTAACCCTTCACATTCCCCTCCTAGGCGGCACCAATCCTCCGGCTGTCCCCAAACCCCGCTTCGATTTCCTCAACTCCAAGCCCCCTCCGAACTATGTCGCCGGACTTGGCCGTGGTGCCACTGGCTTCACCACTCGTTCCGATATTGGTCCCGCAAGGGCCGCCCCTGACCTCCCCGACCGCTCCGCCACAACTATTGGTGGAACCGCCGGCGCCGGGCGGGGGCGAGGGAAGCCCGGTGAGGAGGAGGATGACGACGAGGGCGAGGACAAAGGCTATGACGAGAATCAAAAGTTCGACGAGTTTGAAGGGAATGATGTTGGGTTATTTGCCTCTGCGGAATACGATGAGGATGACAAAGAAGCAGACGCAGTTTGGGAAGCCATTGACAAGAGGATGGATTCACGGAGGAAGGATAGGAGGGAGGCCAGGTTGAAGCAAGAGATTGAGAAATATCGAGCCTCAAACCCTAAGATCACCGAACAGTTTGCTGATTTGAAGAGGAAATTGTATACTCTTTCTTCGGATGATTGGCAGAGTCTTGAGAAGTTCGAGAGTGGGGGTTATTCGTCCAGAAACAAGAAGAAGAGGTTCGAGAGTTTTGTGCCTGTGCCGGATACTCTTCTTGAGAAGGCAAGGCAGGAACAAGAGCATGTCACAGCGTTGGATCCAAAGAGCAGGGCTGCTAATGGAACGGAGACTCCATGGGCACAAACCCCAGTTACGGATTTGACTGCCGTGGGTGAGGGTAGAGGTACTGTGTTATCTTTGAAGTTGGATAGGCTGTCAGATTCGGTTTCTGGGATGACGAATGTTGACCCCAAGGGGTATTTGACCGTGCTTAATAGTATGAAGATTACCAGTGATGCTGAAATTTCGGATTTCAAGAAGGCTAGGTTGCTACTAAAAAGTGTCACTCAGACAAATCCGAAGCACCCTCCAGGCTGGATTGCTGCTGCAAGGCTGGAGGAATTGGCAGGGAAGCTTCAGGCAGCTAGGCAGTTGATACAGAAAGGGTGTGAGGAGTGTCCCAAGAACGAGGATGTGTGGCTGGAGGCTTGTAGGCTGGCTAATCCGGATGAGGCAAAGGCGGTGATTGCAAGGGGTGTTAAGTCGATTCCCAATTCGGTGAAGTTGTGGATGCAGGCTGCGAAATTGGAGCATGATGATGCAAACAGGAGTAGGGTTTTGAGGAAGGGGTTGGAGCACATTCCTGATTCGGTTAGGCTGTGGAAGGCCGTTGTGGAGCTTGCTAATGAGGAGGATGCTAGGCTTTTGCTTCACAGGGCCGTGGAGTGTTGTCCTTTGCATGTCGAACTCTGGCTTGCGCTTGCGAGGTTGGAGACTTATGACAATGCTAAGAAGGTTCTGAATAGGGCGAGGGAGAGGCTATCCAAGGAACCATCTATATGGATAACAGCTGCGAAGTTGGAAGAAGCTAATGGCAATACTTCCATGGTTGGGAAGATCATTGAAAGGGGTATAAGGGCTTTGCAGAGGGAAGGTTTGGTGATTGATAGGGAAGCTTGGATGAAGGAAGCAGAGGCAGCGGAGCGAGCTGGGTCGGTTGCAACTTGCCAAGCAATAGTACACAATACTATTGGGATTGGAGTTGAAGAAGAAGATAGGAAGAGGACATGGGTTGCTGATGCAGAGGAATGCAAGAAAAGGGGTTCTATTGAGACTGCTAGAGCTATTTATGCTCATGCTTTGACTGTCTTCTTAACTAAAAAGAGCATATGGCTCAAAGCAGCGCAGCTGGAAAAGAGTCATGGTACCAGGGAATCTCTGGATGCATTACTTCGCAAAGCAGTTACATACAGACCACAGGCTGAAGTTCTTTGGCTTATGGGTGCCAAAGAGAAGTGGCTTGCTGGAGATGTGCCTGCAGCTCGTGCTATCCTCCAAGAAGCTTATGCTGCCATTCCCAATTCTGAGGAAATATGGCTTGCTGCTTTCAAGTTAGAATTTGAAAACCATGAACCTGAGAGAGCTAGGATGTTGTTGGCTAAAGCTAGAGAGAGAGGAGGTACAGAAAGAGTCTGGATGAAATCGGCTATTGTGGAGAGAGAGCTGGGGAACATTGAAGAAGAAAGGAGATTGTTAGACGAAGGTCTGAAGCAATTCCCTTCATTCTTTAAATTGTGGCTGATGCTTGGCCAACTAGAGGAACAGCTTGCCGAGAATGCAAAGCGACTTGATCAGACTGAAAAACGGCTTGATCACATGAGGGAAGCAAAGAAGGTCTACGAATCTGGACTGAAAAACTGTCCTAATTGTGTACCTCTTTGGCTTTCTCTTGCTAATCTTGAAGAGGAGATGAATGGACTGAGTAAAGCTCGTGCAGTTCTCACAATGGCTAGAAAGAAGAATCCTCAAAACCCTGAACTCTGGCTAGCTGCTGTTAGAGCTGAATTGAAGCATGGTTATAAGAAAGAAGCTGATATTTTGATGGCAAAAGCGTTGCAGGAGTGTCCTAACAGTGGTATTCTGTGGGCAGCATCAATTGAGATGGTTCCTCGTCCACAACGTAAAACGAAGAGTGTGGATGCCATCAAGAAATGTGACCATGATGCCCATGTTATTGCTGCTGTCGCCAAATTATTCTGGCATGATAGGAAGGTGGACAAAGCTAGGACTTGGTTGAATCGGGCTGTGACGCTAGCTCCTGACATTGGGGATTTCTGGGCATTGTGCTACAAATTTGAACTACAGCATGGAACTGAGGAGAACCAGAAGGATGTATTGAAGAGATGTATTGCTGCTGAACCAAAACATGGAGAGAAATGGCAAGTAATCTCAAAGGCAGTTGAGAACTCTCATCAACCAACAGAATCCATCTTGAAGAAAGTAGTTGTTGCACTTGGGAAGGAAGAGAATGCAGCCGAGAATAATAAACATTGATTTGCCGAGGTTGTAACATCACATATGCCCTTGAGCTGTGGCATAAATGGTTAGTTTCGAAGAGAATTTTAAATATTCATCAATAATTTATACTTGAATGTCTCATAGAATATTGAAGGAGTTTTTATATTTGTTTGATCCATTTTCTTTTTCCTGACTTTTTTTCCTTCATCCGTAACTCTGTATTTTTGTGTATTACTCTTTTGTCATCTACCTGATTTTGTAGTTTATTTCTTTGGTATCATACAATCTTCAACTTGACCTCTCCTATCAATCTGGAAAATCTGTATTTTCTCCAGTTTCTGTTTTGAGTGTTCTGTTGGCATGCTTATAACAATCAAACTAATTTAACTGTACTTGGATACACAAAGGAAAACATCAGGGTATTTGGGTACAAAAACGAACCTCCAAGCAAGTTATGTCAAGTCATTTTTCATTTTAGTTTTCTGATACTAATTTCATGACATTCGTTATTTGTTTGTTACAATTTGAGCTGTAGTGAAACTGGTGCAGCTTTTCTGACAAAAAAGATAGCCCGAGTTCCTATATGCACTTAATTTCCCTCTTGTATTTTGCTTTATATTTATCTCTCTCAAATGTAACGTTGATGATTCAGTGCGCTATAGTGGTATAGGGGCACTGCAGATGTTGAGTAACCCTGGGCTACTATATTGTCTTCTCATGAGAAGACTTTTTATTTGAACATTACTATTTTCTCACCCTCTCCATTTGGTTTCTTAGCCAAACATGATTTTGAGCACAATTTAGTGTATTTTCTATACATTTTGCCCTCTAGCTTTTCCTTAGAGGCAATCTGTTATTTTCTGAGCTGCCACATCTGTTACTGAAACTTTGTGGCAACAAGAACCGAGTTGCACAGTAACCATGCTCCTCTATAACAAGTTTCATGATCCGAACTGTGTAGCTGTTTAAGTTTTTGTTCATTGAAAATGAACAAGCTGCCTACTTTGAAGACGAGTTGTACTATTATAGATCTCTAGCTTCATCAGGATTGTTGATAGTAGCAAATAATGGTCAGTATATAGTGACCAACTGACTTAGGTTATCAGATTAGGATGGATAAACAATTTCTGCGGATAGGTATAAGGTCAACGTGATGTAGGATGATGCAGGGTAAGAACAACTTTAGCAATCATGGATTCATGTATGATTGGACACTAAGGCAAAGGGATTCTCGCAAAATCTACCTGTTTGACTTGTTTAGTCTCTGTAGCAGGTCTCATTGAGATTTATTAATGTTGAGGATGGAACATATACTATTTGTAAACAAATTTACTGGTTAATCACTGGTTAGTGTCTAGGATTTGTCCTGTCAACCATGATAGTTTAAAATAATGAAATTAGGATGACTTGAACATCTGAAACTAAAAATGATCACAATTCATAAGGTAGTAATGCCTAATTATTGTGTCAAGTAGAAATTATGATCACAGGCCATTCAGGGCCGTTTCTATCAATTCTAATCGCATCATCTAAAATACCAACATTAGAATTGATGCCATCCTTGAAGGTAAGTCATGATATTTAAATCCAATCATGTGTAAGTGGGACATAGTTGGTAATAATGAAACATTGGGCGAATAGGTCAAACTGGAGCAAAATGAAATGAGGACTGTTCTCGGAAAAGTTTAATAAAACTTCTTGGTGCTCTTTTCAGATTTTAATTACTGCTGGACACTTAATAACAAGAAAAATATAAGATATTGAGCATTCTGCAGCAACTTAGATTCCGCAGTGTTTGGCTTATTAAGGCAGCAAGAAATTGTGCAAGAATTAAATAGTATTTATCAAAAAGCAATCTAGCTTATTTGTGACTGTAGATTAAAGCTCTGATAAAATAAGTACATGCTCAAGTTACTTAGAAATAGGAGGTTTAGAAATGATCCCAGCACAAGAGAATCCCTTGTTGTGCAGTAGTGCATCAGATCATCATATCCTTTGTTTGTTAAGGAATTCAACAGTGTAAGGTTCCCTTGTGGGAATTGTTCATTCACAAAATGGCTTCCTTATGGAATATATATATATATGATGCCCAATTCTGGCACAAAATGTTTCACTGTCCCACTTCGGATGTAGTCCTTCATGCCAGAAGACTTTTAAGACAGTCTTTCTCATCCATGATCAGCATTGCTGGAACCGTGACTTTAGGATCTCTTATGCTACTTTCCACTCCAAGAGTCCTGCGTGAATCATTAACTGTACTTGATAAATTATATAAGTACCCTAGAATGTTCTTGTATACAAATATTTAGATATTTAGATTTCACTCCTTGAGAATAACATGAAGATACTCAAATTACAAGGAAAATATATCCACTTTTACCAGATTTCTGAAAGAGGTAGTGGGACTGAGAAGCTACAATGCAAATCTGAAACCAAATTGTTCATATAGTGATGCATAGGTTGCCAATAACTTCCTCAGAGAACAATGGTGGTATGGGCGTAGATGGGTTATACAAGTCCATGATTTCCTTGATAATTAACCGCTAATGGTATCACTTCCCGAAAGATTGTGTAGATGTTCCTTATAACTTACCTAGCATCACAATGGAAATTTTGGTGATAAAATTTAGTTTCAGAATTGTATATTGTTATTTTTATTCTGTGTATCATAAAACTATGCTGTTTGAGAGATATTGTTTCTGTATTGTGTAGTACATGTTGCATACCTTGCTAACTATTGCTTAATGAATCTATAGAAGACCCACGACATCATCATGGTCAAGTAAGTTTCCCTTTTCTGCTCCGCTGGATGCTCAGAAAGCCTCTGAAATCAAAGGCAATAGTCCGGTAGCCTGCATTTGCTGCATTTGTTGTACGTATTTCTGAGAATCCATATGTAAGAAAACCACTGCCTTTTGAACTGCACCAATTGGATTGTCACTAAAAGTGAAGTTTGACGAAACTGATCATTCAACAATATTCTGATGTGTTCAAGGAATAACTTTCAATCTAAACAACATGGAGCTTTAGTCCCTTCACTTCTACGAGACTGCTGTTTGCTCTCCATCTTATCAGGTGTTAGAAGCAGGCTGTTTCACCGCAGAGTGAGAAAAGGGCGAGGGATTTATGTGAGAAAATGGTGTCCGACAAAAGATAAACCTTACCTACGTCTGTATGCGCGGATACAAACAAATGAAAATGAATATTCTGATACTATTTGAGTGCCAATGCTTTTTCAAATGGATATTCTTTTATGACATTTGATAATATATGTTTATTATAAGCTTGCAGAGCAATTGATTAAACTTGCTGGTCATTATGGCTTCATTTACGCTCGCTAGCCAGCGTGATGACGCCTCATGAGGCAAATACAAAACCCAAGTTAAGAATTCAACGTATAAAACTGGTATAAATTTAAGAAAAGCATTAAAATTTAAAGTCACAACAAAGAATTAATGCTTTTGCAATCGAGTTATTACAAATTAATAAAATTATCAATTTATGTAATTACCATGGTATTCTACCAATCATTCTGGTATAATTTTTTATTTTAAATAGAAAATCATAAAAGTATAACTAAGTATTTAAAGTATTCTTGCAATGTCCATCCTTTATACACATTCAACGTTTTATTATAAGTATTTAAAGTATTCTCGTTTAAAAGTGTCTCTTTCGTGAGATTGAATACACAGTACATCCTGAAAACAAGTAGGTGTGTTTGGATAAGGTAATTTAGAATAATTATTTAAAGAATTTAAATTTCTTTATAATAAAGTGACTTGAGATAAAGTAATTAGAAAGAAAAAAATCACATTTAAAGAATTTTGGAAAGTATTTCAAATGAGTAAAAATGAAAATTTTCAAATATCTTCAAAAGTATAAAATTTGAAATTCTATTCAATTTTATTTTATTATCACCCATTTATGAGTTAATGTGGAAAGCTCAATCGAATCAACTCTAATTGAAAGTTCAAATTAGTTGGCTTGACTAAAGAGTTAATCAAGTTAATTTAGATTAAAAGTTGAATTAATTTGGCTTGGAATGAAGTTTGAGTAAAAAATTAACTTGAGTCAAAAGTTAAGCCGAATTTGTCTAGGTCAAATGTTGAGTTAAGTTGATTGGACTGTATTGGAGCCAAGTTGGCATAAACCAAAGGTCAAGCCGATTTATCACAAGTTGATTTGCATAAATAAAAGGTCAAAACAATTTGACATAAAGGTTGAGTAAAGTCAAATAAACCTAAGGTCAAGTCGACTCGGTTAGGAGTGAATGTTAGGATGAACCAACGAAGCTGAAGGTTGAGCAGGGTCGACTCAGACACAAAATCGAGTAGGGCCGACTCAGGCTGGAGATTGAACTTAATTATTTTGAACCGAAGTTCGAGCCATGTTTGCTCTTGTTAAAGGTCGACCTAAGTCCGTTTGGATTGAAAGTTAAAATCAATCGACCATAGTTGAAGGTTGAGACGAGTTAACTTAGACTAAAGGTTAGACCTAGTCAGTCAATGTCAAATCTTTTAGAATTAGCCCAAACTGAAAGTGAAAACGAATCGTCTGGAATCAAATGTCGAGCTAGTTCAATTTAAACTTAAGAATAAAGTTGAGGTTATCTTAAAATAGAAATTAAATTATTTTATCCAAATAAAAAAAATTAAAATATAAGATATTTTGATTAGTATATCAAACAAACTATTTAAAAAAATAAAAAAATTTAATTTAAAATAATTCAAATACCATGTATTTCAATTTTTTGAAATTGTTAAAATTCTTCGTTCAAATACAAGTTTCTGGGAAATGCGGAGGGGTGACCTGATAGTATATCGGATCAAAAGTATTTTATACTCTATGAACTCGAGTTTTTCAAATCTCATCATGAATCAAGAAGAAACAATTGATGTAAACTGATAAATTAACATCCCACTCAATAACTAGCACCTACCAGTGTCCGAATTACAAGACCCCTTTCAAGGTACAATAACACCCTCTCTTAACGAGAGACTCCAAGCACTAGGATAACTATACAACAAAAACTGTATTTTCTGCTTAAAAAGAAAAAAAAAAAGATTGAGGCATGCTTTAAATCTTCACCTAAGTTTCTTTTGTAGACCAACAAAGAAGTCTGTCTAACCATTAAATCGAGAGACTTATAAAAAGTCCTACATCACATGGACCTCTTCGTTAACCATGCTTAAAACCATGATCAAAATTCTCTTTCCATGTTAACAAGAAAAAAGATTAACGGTGGTACAACTGAGAAAGGATAGTTAGAGTGGAATTTCGTATCATATTATCTTCTGTTCCTTACTGATAGATCCGAAATGTGTGGTGGTAGAAAGGTGATGCATATGAAACATGAGCTAATAAATTAATCTGTCAAAATTGTTTTGTCCTGCACAAGCTTCTGAACTTCAACATCTCCTAACTCTATTTCACTTCCTTGCCTCTTGTGTTCATTCTTAAACATGAGCTCTATCTGCTCCAATGACTTCCCTTTGGTCTCAGGAACTAGCACGTAGACAAACACAATGGCAAGAGAAGAAATAGCAGCAAACAGAAAGAATGCTCCACCCACTGTAATTGCACGCGAAACAGAAAGGAAAGACATAGCCACAAAACCACTACAGACCCTATTGCCCACAGCCCCAAGCGAAGATGCTTGAGCACGCACCCTTAAAGGGAAGATTTCAGATGTCAAAACCCAACACACAGGGCCTAATCCAACAGAAAAGAAAGCCACATTCCCACAAACAAGTACAATTACCAATGCAATTACAAATGATCCTTTTGGAAACAAAGAAAGACTAACCCCTATGCTAAACAAACACACTGTCATCCCAATTGTGCTTACAAAGAGTAGTGGCCTCCTTCCTTTTTTGTCAATAAGAAGAATTGCTACCAATATAAAAACTGTCTTTGTCACACCTACAGCAACAGTGGCAGCTAGGAGTTTTGCATTATCCTCAATCCCTGCTGCTTTGAAAATCTCAGGACTGTAATACACAGTTGCATCAATTCCAGAAATCTGTTGAAAACATTGAATCCCGATTCCTGTGATCATCATTCTGCGAAGGGAAGGAGAAGGAAACAACAGTTCATACCACACAGGTTTCTCTTCATAGTGTTCACCATTGCCCAAACCAGCTGCCTGCTGTATTTCTGCAAGCCTCTCCTCCACTTCTCTGTCACTTTCATTAGTTTTCAGAAGCACTGATCTTGCTTCTTCAATCCGGTTCTGCATTACCAACCACCTTGGTGACTCGGGAATGATGAAAAGTGCAAAGCCAATGAAAACTGAGGGCAAAATCCCCACAGCAAGCATTATCCTCCAGTTTATGTGAACCGAGAAGCCTGAAAAAGCATAATTTGATACATAGCCAAGCAAAATTCCTAGATTGATGAAAATCTCTGGGAAGGTAGTGAGAAAGCCTCTGGTGGTGTTTGGTGATATCTCTGCAATGTATATAGGGGCAATCAAGCCTCCAAATCCTATTCCAACGCCAGCTAAAAATCTTCCAACCATTAGTATTGAAAATGAAGGAGCAAGAGTCATTATCAGTGAACCCATTTGAAAAATCACTGCAGCTATGGCCATTGTCCATTTCCTACCAATAATATCGGAAGTTCTTCCACCACCTAAACTTCCAAGTAGAGAAATAACGCTCAATATACCAACTAAAAACTCCTCCTTCACCTCTGATATCTTCAGATCTTCTTTTATAAATATAACTGCTCCACTCATCACACCAACATCTGACAGTTGACAAGAGTAATTCATAAAAATATTTCTTAACAAATCTTTCTTTACTGCAAATTTACTGTTATTTAATCTTAAATTGCTATGTACGATAAATTTGTTAATGCTTAATCTTAAGAAAACAATACTGATGATATTCTGATCGGTGGATAGTGCAAAAAAACTAACATTTTTCATTTGGGTATGGTTTTAAACAGCACCAAAAATCAGTACTCTCAAATCCTAAGCTGAAAATGTAGGAAGTTCTTTCATGAATCGCAGAAAAAGTAAGAGACTACGCGAATCAAGCATACCATAGCCGAGAAGGACATTATTGAGAGAAGCAAAGGTGGCACATGCCATAACATATTTCCTGGTACTGTTCCTCCTTGCTTCCTGTTGCAAAACATCATCGTCTCCCTCTGGAAGGTCGGAGTGCATCCTCTTGTACTCGTTCTTTGATCCCAAAGCAATTGCAGACAACCCCAGTTCACTATTCCCATGTTGTTGGAACCCCATACTATCTCTTGATTCTTTGCAACTTGCAGAAATCTGAAATTGCTGTTGGATCTGAATTATGAGATTACCAAAACCATGGCATGGAAATGAAGATTGACCTTAAAGTATGCAAAGGACAAGAGCGAGCACCAAGTGGGGGCACTTTTTATGTCATGGAAGAAAAAAAACCCCTCTGCCTAATTCCATATTTTATTTGCTTCCACGTGAGACCTTCCACATTTATCATAGTTTAAATGGTTCTTTCAATGCAACATCTTAAAATCATTAATAAAGATGACCAATTACTGAATTTTGGCCATAAACTACATCGACATGCTATATTCAATTAATGTAAATAAAATATAATATTCGTAATTGAATTATAAGAAAAACAACAGCAACAGCAACGGAAGTTGCAGTGAATTTAGACAAAGACCATGATGTAAAAAAGGATGAGAATTGTCATCTCATTTTGCAAGATTCCGTATGATCCACTTTAAAATTGAAACATAGTATCAAAACCCATCCTAAATCTATTAAAATACTTACATAATCAGTCACACATTAGGGTCAATGTTCATCACTCTGTTTTCTTTATTAAATATCCAATTTGCTCCATGGAAGGTTAAAGTGTGAGCTGACAGGTTTTCCAATATTATTTTTTTTCCATGTAGATGGGTTTTTGAAAAATTTATCGTCTTGCATAAATGAAATGGTGAAACTCTTAACAGAAGTTCAATTCAACAGTTAATTGTCTCGTAAATATATTTTTCACTTTTATATATGACGTATTAGGGGTTAAATAAGAAGATTTTAAAGTGAATGTTTTTCTCCATAGTTGTTTTTCTTTCAGTTTTAGAGTTTCATCTTCTTTTCCACCATGGAAGAAGTTGTTCAAAGTAATGAAACTCTTTATGGTTCAAAATTAGCGTTTGTAATTGTTCTAAAAACTACTCCAATATATATTATTTCTTGTTTTATGTTACCTTCTGCCTAATATTTACTCTTTTTAGCTACCCTAATTTTATTTCTATAACGAAATTATAATTTGTGTAACATGAGAACTGACAGTAAAAAGTCTAATTCTAGGATGTGAGAAAGCATTATAGGTAACTCCAATGAGTTTAATGAGTTTTTCGTGTTCTTTTGGTAGGAAATTGAAATGAAATTTAATATCTAGTTATTGTGAAGTAATATATCTATTTTTCAAGCATGTTTGTGAGAAAAGTTTATAACACTATATCTTTTAAAAGTTTAGACTATGCAATGTCATTGGATTGCCTTATTTCTATAAGTTGAAAACATTCTTCTTATAGAACTTACATTCAAATCTATCATATCATCTTATAAAATAAAGCTAACAGAGTGCTAATTCATGTATTCTAAAAAAAGATTTGATGCAAGAAACATACATTTTTTATTGTATGTTTAAGGAAATTATGTTTAAGATAAAATATACTATAAAAGAACAACAAGTTGAGTTTAGTGGAGATTTTGTCGGCTAAAAGATTACCAACTCTAACATGCTATAGAAGATAAATAAGTCTCACCACTGTTTGACTCAAGAGACCTATAAATAGAAGACTTGTAATAAACACCATTTCTCTTTTGAGTTTTAGGTTTCCTTGCTTTCTTCTTAATTGATGGGGAAATTGGATTCACATATTTTGTTCTCTCTCAATATTGTTGGCTATGTATTATTTGAATGAAATATTAACAAGACGTACTATATGTTCTCATACTCAGCAAAACATCATAAATATTTAAAATGAAACTATAAAATTGATAATTTTTGTATACTTGTTTTCAAAACCTACATCTACGAATGTGAATATTAAGATTGACACCCAACTTATTGAAATTTTGAACTTTATATATTTTTCCATTTAAATCTCCTGACCAAACAAAAGGTTGAAAATTGTTTTTTTCTTTTTTCTTTCTCCAACCTATTTTATTGAATTGGAGACAATTAAGCAATTTTAGTAGTCAATTTCTTCTTTTCTTTTGTATAACATTTGACTTCTTCCAAATTGGCTTACCCTTATACCTCATAATCATCACTTTGGAACTTCATTAATATTGTTTATGTTGTCAACCATACACTCATCTTAGAAGTAGGACCTTGAGTATGACTCAAATATCCACTTCATTTCATAATAAAATGCAGTTTTTTTTTTTTTATGTAAGACTCAATTTTGCTAAAAATTCTAAAGGTTTCCAATTCTTCTTCCTAGTTCAACATCAATAATTCATTATAAAATATTGACATTAGATACAATTTATGATTAAATTAAATATTGATTGTTCCGTTAGATGATTATGATCAGAATAACTCCTTATTATCATGTTCTTTCGAGATATGTTAGATAATTATTCAAGAGCACAATAATATCAAAGATACAACTCATCCTTCGTATTCTTCTTGTCATGACAAATACGTGTCTTTTAGCATCATTATACCTTTTACAACCATTAACAAAAGTCTTTTAGTAGTCAAATATTGATGTAGTTCTCGTCCAAGTTAAGTTATTATTTAATCGAGAAACAATGTTGTAGGAGTAGCTCAAGAGTCTAGAAAACCTAAAACAAACTTAAAAATGAGATCTTTTATTCAAAATTTATTTTTCAAGTTTTTTTATTCAAAATTATCTATATTAACTATTGTTAATATTATTTTCATTTAACTTTTACCACTTCATCACTTATTTCATTAGAAATTTCATCTTTATAATCTGAAACCCATAAATCAAAAAATACTAAAAAATAAAACCAAACAAAAAAAAATACATTTTTAATCCTAATATAAATTCAACAAATAGAAAAAAAAAACAACAACAAAATAAATAAAAAGAAAAATAAACTAATAAAAAATAAGGATAAAAAAATTACAAACAACATGCGAAGTAATAAAATCTTACAAAATCCTGAAAAAAAAAAAACAAGAAGAGACATGAAATCACTGAATGAAAAGTCACATAAAAATAAAAAAAAGAAAATTAAAATTAAAATTGGTTCTAGAAAAATAAAAATAACTAATCATGTTTTGTTCTAAACAAAATTATAATTTGTTGAAAAAAGATTTTAACTCATTACATATAATTTTTAATATCAATAAAGTTTAACTTAATTAAATTTCATTTTCAAACGTAAAATTATAATTAAATTAATACAAATATATTAATACTAAAAAAATCAACTTCCTTTTTTTAAAACAGAATTTTATAATTAATTTAATAAAAGTATATTAATACTAAAAAGTTTCCTTTAGACTTTTTTATAAATATAATTTTATAATTAATTTAATAAAAGAATATTATTACAATTTTTTTTAGACTTACGTTTGTTTTATATGCTTTATCGCCCTGCATTGTTGCTAACCAAACTTCCTCCTGTGATACAACACAAAATTTAGTTTGAAAACCATTATGAAATCAACATACGAATAAACTACACATTAAATTACATTAATATACTCCTAATCAAACTCTCAACAATTTATGAAGTTTCAATTTCTCATTATATATAAATATAGACAAATAAATGAATAATTTATAAATAATGTCACCCACAATCGACTATCTACAACAATATACAACAAACCAACTCACCATTAAACATATACCTAAAACAAAGACAAATGTGTGTTTCACCCAAAACAGAGACACAATTAGTACAATAAAAAAAAATAAAACATACTTACACTTAACTTCACAATGAAATTCTGTCTTCATTCCTCGTCAGAGCACAAATTTCTTTTATCATAATCATTTTCTCTTTCCAATTATTTTTTTCTTTATAATTTTTGAACGTGATAAAAATATTATATATTTTTATTTAAGTAAGAATAAATTATCAAGTATCATCTATTATTTAATTGTTATTAAAAATTTGATTAGAAAAAGGAACTAACATGAAAATAAAATTATAATTCAAAGACAACTATATATTTATTAAACTTCCAATCTTCCAAAAATCGATTTAAATATTTACTCAATTATTTACTTTTATAACTTGCCACCACATGACAAATTAACAATTTTTTTTAAATATTTTGGTTTAGATTATACTAAATTATTTAAAAAATCAAACATAAAAAACTTTTAATTGAGAAACACGTATTTTAAATTAGATTTATGATTAATCAAACATAAAATATCATTCACCTAAATATATCATTAACAAAATTTTTAATAACTTCCTAGCAATTCAAATTTGTTTTTATATAAAAATTTGAGTTATTAAGCATAAATGTTTTGTAAAATACTAATCCAACAAAAAAAGTATTTATTAGAAAAAAAAAGAAAAGAAATTGTTACTTCAAAAATGGCAACCATTGATCTAATTTGGCTAAAAGATTGATATTCTTATCATTATTACACATATATATATATATATATATATATATATATATATATATATATATATATATATATATATATATATAAACACGGACGAACATGTACAGAGGAGTAGTTAACATGAAAAAAAAGTGAAGGAACATAAAATTTGCGAGTTTAGTTTCTTAATTAATGATAAGTATTTTCATACATGTTTTTAGATTTATTAATTAACTCAAAATTTGTATTTATATTCATGAAATAATGTAGGAAAATGTGTAATAAATTGTACAAGAATCAAAGTGGAGTTTAAGTCAGCATTAAATCGCTCAGCTAAATAGAGTTTTATTCGCTGAGCGAATAAAAGACAATTAAAGATATGTTTGAAGTTGAATATTCGCTTAGCGCATAAAGAGAGTTGTGCGCTTAGCGAATTAGTTTTTTTTTAATTGGCTTTTAAAGTGGAAAATAGATAGAAAGAACTCCAGACACAAGTTCCAGAAAAGAAACAAAAACATCTCATGAACTTCCGGAGACTACTTCAAGGCATCAAGACACCATTGTTGCAAGGGATTGCTTCAAATGTGTACTTTCTAAATGTTCTAGATGTCTATGACTAGTTAAATTTTTCTTTTGTTGGAATTGAATGTAATGAACTCACCCGATGTAATTTTTCTGTTCATCGTTGTTCGTTCATATGCTCTTTCTTGAATTTACTAACATTGTATGAAAGTATAATGTTATTTGAATGTTTTTGATTACTGGAAAGTAACTTTGAACATGAACATAGATAGAACACCTAAGTGATTTGGGAACTAGGGATAGACTCAATAACTTGTAGCATCAGACTTAATGCAAATTGTATGTTAAATTGACTACGAGATTATTATTTTGATATATAAATTTAGAGCTAGTTGCTAAGGGATTATGACTAGTATGCCTTGATGTGAATGTTTAAATGAAATAATGATATATTGTACAAAGTTTTATCTTCATATGATTCATCAAACTCAATTCCAACAAAGTTTCTTTTAAATATAATTCCTTCCACACCTCAAATACCGTCTTTTGGAAGAACGATACTCTGAACTTACTCTATATTACTTAGAACGATTTGGTATACTTGTCAAAAAGTTAACAAGTAAATGAGAATTTTTCTACGTTATTATAAGAAATATTTAGTAAATAATTACTTTTAGCAGTTTATAGCGTATTTTGAAATATTACTTTTATTACTATTTTTAAAGCTTAAAATTATAACTATTTATATAAATTTCATTTTTTATAATACTTTTTAAATTAATGATTCACCTTTTCTCTTAAATAAGAAGATTTGTTTTTGTATTTTAAGATAAAAAACAATATCATAAAAATATATGACACATACTTAACTATATTATTTTATTTTAGATTTTACTTGAAATATTTAAGAGATTGCACAAGATTAGTAATAAAATATACAATGGAAAAAATAATCTGAAGCAAATAATATAATCATAATAAATTAATTAACAATAAAAATTACTATAATTTAAAATTAATAAAAATTAGTGTAAAATTTCATCTGTTCATATTTTTTTAACTTGTTTATGTATGAAGTAGGTATAGTTTTCATTAAAACTAGAACAAAATTATATATTAAGATTAGAATATCGTTAGAATAATATTAAATTTATGATTTAAATTTGATTTAAACTAAATAATTAGAATTAACATTAGTAAATTTAATATTAAATTTAAATTAATATTAATTCACATTAGCATATTTAAAATTATTATTAAAAAAATTGTAATAACATTAGAATTTAAAATTAATATTTATTTAGTTTTCTTAGAAGTTTAAATTTGTTTAATGATTGAAATATGTGTATATATTTTTATTACTTTTGATATTAAGATATTCATTATTAAAATATATTGTTGTGTGATTTTCTTCATTTTATAAAAATTTAAAGGGTTAAATATGTTTTTCGTCCCTTAAGTATCACACGATTTTGGTTTTAGTCCCTACTCAAAACTTTGATGGTTTTTAGTCCTCGTAGTTTTGAAACTCTTAGTATTAGTCCTTAAAAATGGATGGCGTTAAGTTTTAGTAGATGTGGCAAACAGCGAGGCCGGATTTGATGCCAGCTGTCGTGCCACGTTGTTTCATTTTTCAAGTTGAACCTAACTTCGTCTTCTACGGCGTTCCAGAAGCTTCCTGTCTCTGCCCCTCGCCCTCCACGCCCTCCACCGTGGAAGAATATGATGACAGGACCAACCTCAGAGCTCACAGGTTTCTCAAGCTCAAGAATGCTCACTGGACGCTTCTCTCCCTCAGCAGGACGATAGATTCGCGTAAGGAGATTGGTTTCACGGTCAACAATGACATCAAAAGAGAACACTCCATCCACGAGGTTCGCATTTGCTGGAACTTTCCGATCAAGGAACTCTGCCAAGTCCCGGTTGAAAGTGCCATCCGGACGACAAAGAAGATTGTATGCCAACTTGAAATTTGAGATCAGAACCCACATATTCAGCGAAACCACCATCTACACCAATTTTATTTTCATTTTAAAAAAATAAAAGAAAAGGATAATAATAATAATAGGAAGAAGAAAATAATTTAAACCGAGGATAATTAGAAACGGAGAATAAATCCAATAAACCCCATAATTTTGGGAAAATCGATGAATCCAACTTCCCAAATCAGCACATTGAATGACAAACCCTAAACAGTAAAACCGCGTTAGGTGGAACAAGGAACTGATCCAACCAAAACCGGAAATTATTTCACAAACAGAGGGCGTGGAGGGCGAGGGGCAGAGATGGGAAGCTGCTGGGTCGTCGTAGAGGACGAAGTTAGGTTCAACTTGAAAAATGAAACAATCAACGTGGCGCGACAGCTGGCATCAAACCTGGCTTCGCCGTTTGCCACATCTACTAAAACTTAACGCCATCCATTTTTAAAGACTAATACTAAGAGTTTCAAAACTACGAGGACTAAAAACCATCAAAGTTTTGAGTAGGGACTAAAACCAAACTCGTGTGATACTTAAGGGACGAAAAACATATTTAACCCTAATTTTTTTATACTCATGTTATTGGGTTTTATGTATGCATGTTTTTGTCTTTAAGGTCTGCATATGTTATTGGCTTTTGAATATTGATGAGTCAATATTTTCTCAATTTCACTTAGCTTATTGTACCGAATTTAATTAGGGAATTGTGCTTAAATGTCCAGTATTTTCCCATTTTTCCTAATTGTGCTTAATTTGATCAGAAATTCTTATTTTAATTAATTTGAATGATTTGAGCTAATTATTTGCATTATTAATTGTAGGGAAAATTTTGGAAATACAATTTGGGACATTTAGAGGCTAAATGAGTGAGGAGGTGCGGATTTCATATTTGGGGGTGCACTTGGAGATGTGCATGTTGCTTGCTGGAAGGAAAAACACATCACACGGCCATTCATCTTATTCAGCCTTAGTTGGAATTAAAGAAGGGCCCACATTGAAGCACTCGGACCAAGCCTTCAAGCACACGCTGGCAGCAAAAATGGGGGTGCGTCCAGAAAAAGAAGGGAGC